CTGTTGTCATGGAACTATAATTCCTCTAGAGCATTCATAACTTGTCTTGGAAGCTCAGCTGTATTTTAGGTGACGTGTTTTCTGTAGAATTCCTAAGTGCTTGCTCTCGGGAGTTGGGCCAAGTACACACAATAGCTATTTGGGGCAGAACAGCTGGTAAAGGGAGAGTCAGTCTAGACTCTAGAAGAAAAGTAGAAAGAAGTGAAGGATCCTAGAAATGGTCAGGACCCAGTGAAAGGAGACTGTAAGCTCTCTGTGGGCAGAAAGGGGCTGTGTACTTCTTTAGCCTTCTCTCCATGTCCAGCGGAGCACGGAGGGGGAGCTTAATATTTATGAGTTGCTGAGACTAAAAGCTTCTGATCTGCAAGCTTCGTGAGCCCTTAAAGATAGATGGAGGTGATAGTAAATGCAAAGCAGCATATGCACCATTCCTACAAGCCTCTCACAGTACAGACATCACCAATCAATCACAGCACTGTTTCTGAGCGCTGAGCCTGGGGAGAATCTCAGAATCCGTGCCAGCACAGTGCTCAGAACAGTATCAATGGATTGGAGGGAAATGATCTGCCCCCCTGGCTTACATGATTAATGTTGACTTGTTCGGAAAGGATGGGAGGCCTTGTGAACGACGTGAGAATGAGGGCATCACCATCAAGAGGCATAAAGTTCCCCACTGTGGGGCGCCTAGGTGGCTCAGTAGTTAAGCGTTAAGTGTCTGCCTTCGGCTCAGGTCATGGTCCCAGGGTCCTGGGATTGAGCCCCACATCGGGCTCCCTGCTCGGCAGGAAGGCTGCTTCTCCCTCTCCCGCTCCCCCTGCTTGTGTTCCCTCTCTCGTTGTGTCTCTGTCAAATATAAATAAATAAATCTTTTTTTTTTTTCAAGTTCCCCACCATGAGGGGGACAGAAAGGTACAGACACAGAGCCAGTCCCTACCCTTTTGGAACTTACCAGTGTGGACACATAGGGAGAAGGGTGGTCGTTTGCTTGTCCTTCAGCATTATCGGGGCACTCACTGATCATGGAACCTCTGTAGACGCACCTCGTTCTCCCCCACTTAGCAGCTGATGGGACAGGCTGCTCAGAGGCTGGAAGCTCAGCCGGGGTAAATCACCCAGCTGGGAGAGGCCGCACTGAGGACCTGACTCCTTCTCCCAACGCATCATCACCTGAGATACCTCCAGGACCCACTCCCATAGATATGCGTGGCCTGGATAGCAGGATGATAGGACCAGAGCATGAGAGGGGCCGTGCTCCGAGCCCCCCCCCAGTGCCAGGCCCCCTCTCTTGGCCTGGGATCCCCCATTTGGCTCATTCACTCATGCTCGTTATCAGGCAGCCGATGCTCTTGAGTATCGACATATGCCATCTCCTACCTCACAATGAGACTGAGGGCTCAGAGAGGTCCAATGACATGCCCAAGGTCACACAGGTAAAGTGGCAACTGAAGTCCACCTTCTTCCCAGTCACTGGTGGCACTGGGGACTGGTTCTGTTCACCAGGTGCCATGCCAAAGTGTCTCACGCTGCCCTGGGAGGTCCTCGGTGGGTGGCCAGCATCCTCACATCACGTTTGTTTCAACACCAGGTCCACAGCTGGGCCTGGGAGACACAGAGATGAATCAAGGGAGGCCCCTTCCTTTGGGGGGCTCCCTGTCTAGAGAGGCAGCCAGGAGGGAGAGCAGCTGGCTACCATGATGTATGAGCTTCCTGGGGCCGCCACAAAAAAAAAAAAAAAAAAGGCACAAACTGGGTGGTTTAACACAACAGACATGTATTCTCTCACAGTTCTGGGGGCCAGAAATCTGGCATTAAGGTGTTGACAGGGTGGATTCCTTCTGATGAAGCTCTGAGGCAGAATCCGTCCCAGGGAGTCTTCTGGGGGTTCCTTGGCTTGGGGCTACATTGCTCTGATTTCTGCCCCCGATCTTCCCCTGGCCATCTTCTCTGTGCTTGTGACTCTGTGTCTTTTCTCTTCTAAGGACACTGATCATTGGATTTAGAGCCCATCCTAACCCAGGATGATCTCACCTCAAGACCCTTAATTACACCTGCAAAGACCCTCTTTCCAAATCCGGTCACATTCACAGGCACTCGGGGTTAGGACTTGGGCATATGTTTGGGGCATGTTCAACCCATTAGCTGTGGTGACAAGGAAGGCCCCAGAAAGCTGGGCGGAGGAGGAGAAACCATGGACAGTCCTACAGGAGCAGCGAGCCACCCACAGAAGTTCCTCTGAGATGTTGCAGGAGATATACCCACTCGTTTGCTTGTCCAGCCACCTGCTGAATGTTCACCGAGTGCTACTCTGTGCTGGGCCAGGCTCCTGGCTCCCGCCTTCCCTGCAGGTCACACACTACTTGTGGGTGTGACAGGAAAAAAAAAAAAAAAAAGGAAACTGTGGATAAAACAATGACCAACAGTGAAAAGTGCCGCAGAACAAACCAAAAAAAGGGAGTCAGAGAAAGGAACTACACAGCGTGGGGTGGACTGTTGGGGGTGGGGTCAGCGGACCCTGGAACGCACGCTCAGGCTGAAATGCACCGATGAGCTATCCGGCCTTTTCAACAAAGGGTCCTGGAACCACTGGGTAGCCACAGGCCGCCCCCCCCCAAAAATTTGTTTTTAACTCAAGATGGATCATTCACTGAAGTGTAAAATGCAAAAGCTATAAACCTTCTAGATGATAAACATAGGGGAAAATCAGGACGACCTCAGACTTGGCAATTTTTTATTTTTATTTTTATTTTTTTTAAGATTTTTTTTTTTTAAAGATCTTTTTATTTATTTATCTGAGACAGAGAGAATGAGATACAGAGAGCATGAGAGGGAGGAGGGTCAGAGGGAGAAGCAGACTCCCTGCCGAGCAGGGAGCCCGATGCGGGACTCGATCCCGGGACTCCAGGATCATGACCTGAGCCGAAGGCAGTCGCCTAACCAACTGAGCCACCCAGGCGCCCCTTTTTTAAGATTTTTATTTATTTATTTGACAGAGAGAGACACAGCGAGAGAGGGAACACAAGCAGGGGGAGTGGGAGAGGGAGAAGCAGACTTCCCGCGGAGCAGGGAGCCCGATGCGGGGCTCGATCCCAGGACGCTGGGACCATGACCTGAGCCGAAGGCAGACACTTAACAACTGAGCCACCCAGGCGCCCCAGACTTGGCGGTTTTTTAGATACAAGACCAAAGGACAATCCTAAAACGAAAATATGATACGCTGGCCTTCCTTAAAATGAAAAGCTTCTGCTCTGCAAAAGGCACTGTTAGAGATTCAAAAGACAAGCCACAGACTAGGAGAAAATCTTTGCGAACCACCTGTCTGACAAAGGACTGGTGTCCAACATATACAAACAACGTTTAAAACTCCATAAGAAAACAAACAACCCAGTTAAAATCTGGGCCAAAGGTCTGAACAGACCCCTCAGCAACGAAGATATACAGATGGCAAATAAGTGAATGAAAAGATGCTCCACGTCAGATGTCATCGGGAGACTGCAAATTAAAAACATCAATGAGATAGCAACACACACCTATTAGAATGGCTAAAATACAAAAAACGGACAATGCTAAATACCGGCGAGGACGTGCAGCAGCGAGAACTCTCGTTCATTCACCGCTGGTGGGAAGACAAGTGATACTATCACTTTGGAGGACAGTTTGGTGGGCTTTTACAAAGCGAAACAGTCCTAGCCTGTGATCCACCAATTGTGTCCCTAAGTATACCCAATTAATTTGAAAACACGTCCATGAAAAAACGTGCACGTGAATGTTTAGAGCAGCCATATTTGATGTATATCCAATCTAACAACTATATTGCCCAAAACTGGAAGCAACCAGGATATCCTTCAATAGGTGAATGGATAAACGGTGGTCCCTCCATCTACACCATGGAATATCATTCAGCAATAAAAAAGAAATGAGCTCTCAAGCCACAAAAAGACATGGAAGAATCTTTTTTTTTTTTTTAAGATTTTATTTATTGATTTGAGAGAGCGAGTGAGCATGAGCAGGAGGGAGGGACAGAGGCAGAGGGAGAAACAGACTCCCCGCTCAGCGGGGAGCTGGACACAGGGCTCGATCCCAGGACCCTGAGATCATGACCTGAGCCGAAGGCAGACGCTTCACCGACTGAGCCGCCCAGGTGCCCCAACATGGAAGAATCTTAAAATGCACATTGTTAAGTGAAAGAAGCCAGTCTGAAAGAAACTACCTACTGTAAGAGCCACAACTAGAGAGATTCTGGAAAAGGCAAACCTATGGTACCTAACCAGGGGTTAGGGAGGAGGAAGGGATGGAGAAGTAGGGCCCAGGGGACTCTTCAGGGCAGTGAAACTATTCTGGATGACAGTGTAAGGGCGTGCATTTGTCAAAACCCATACAAGGTACAACATCAAGAGTGGAGACCCTGGTGTAAACTGTGGACTTTAATAACAATGCATCAATATTGGCTCATCAAGTATAACAAACATATCACATAATGCCAGGGGAAATTGTATGTGTGGGGGTACACGGGGACTCTGTGTACTTTCTATTCATGTTTTCTGTAAACCTAACAGCACCCTAAAAAACTAAGTTCACTAGTTAAGGGGGTGGGAAGGGAAGATGAGCCAGAGCCAAGCAAGTGGGAAGTGAGAGGCAGACACGCTTGGTAGAGAGCACAGCAAGTACAAAGGCCTCGCGGGGAGCATGTGCTTGGTCCCTTCTGGGACCTGCAAGGAATCCAACAAGGGAGGATGAACTGGAGGGAGCTGCGGGGGTCCTCAGAGGTGGAGGGGAGGACCAGAGAGTCATACGCCTCAGGGACCAAACTCGATTCCCTTCATCTTTCCCTCATTATCATATGGGGAAACAGAGGCCCAGGTAAATAAAGGCAGTGAGAAAAGCATACAGGTGGTTCATCTAACCAGAACCTGCAGAGGACTCACGGGATGTCATCAGCACTTCTACACACACACACACACACACACACAGAAAGAGAGAGAGAGAGAGAGAGAGAAAGAGGCATGACTCTTACAGTAAGTATCCCTGTGGGGCAAGATACCATTATTATCTGTGTTTTACAGAAGAAACAAGCCCAGAGAGGCAAAGCCACTTGCCCAACGTCACAGCCAGTGGTCAGTGGCTGAGGCTGACTCTCAACCATCTCAGTGGCAGCTGCAGGAGGCACGTCTGAATTCAAGCTGAAGTCTCCCGAAGCCCAGGGATGCTGCAGAGGCGAGCCTTGCCTCCCCCAGCACCTCTGGATCCCCATCGCCTGACCAACAGGGCTTATCAACATGTGTTTGCTGAATCCACGGTTGGATGAATCACAGTGAGGTGACGTACCCCTGAGGCTCCTTTCAGCTGGGAGGGTCCAGGACTGTGGACCCAAAGGGGCCCCTTGGTGCCTGAGTGGTGCCAAGGCCACCCCCATGCAGTGGTGGTCCCACTGCTGTCCGTGGCAAAGCCCTCCTGGCCCCAGAGAAGGTATCCAGGTCAGGAGCTTCCTGAACCCCTCACCACCTGGCCACGGGACAGAGGAAGACCATGGATGCTGGAGTCAAGAGACCAAGACTGGATACTGGCTCCATGGTTACACCATGAGATGCTCTCCCTCTAGGACTCATGTGGCTCCCCCTTTCTCCAGGTCTTGACTCATCCAGCACTGGGTGAGGTGAGGCTCAAATTTTCCCCATCCTCTCTCTCCCCCCTCACACTCACTCGCTTCCTATTCCCCTCCCCGCTGTATCTTGCACCCCCTGCTTTATGTTCCCAATACACTTGTTTATTTTACACCCCCTAGGGGAAGCCCCCAAGAGCAGGGGGGTTTGTCTGCCTGTTGGCTGCTGCACTCCCAGTACCCACACAGGGCCAGCACACAGTAACAATGGTGGTGACAGTCCCTTGCTGGCAGGGCTGTGTTGTGTGTGACCCAGGTGGTATATTCAAGATGCCCACCGGTCGGACAGGCCTGTTCCCTGTCCCCTGCCACCACCCCCCACTCCCTCCCAGTGCCGGGTCTATGTTGGAGTAGAGATTGTCATTCTTGTCTTCGGCCTCTTCACTTATGCAAGTCAGTAAAGGCACCAGGCCTACCAGGCTCTCCCAGAGCCCCGTGGAGGGCTTCCCTGAGAGAGAGCGCATCTCAAGGACTTAACATTGGTTGACATCATCATACAAGGTTTTTTACAGAGTGATGGGCATAACAGTGGGTCAGGCTTAGTGGGCCCCCAGAAAATGAGAGGCCGAGTCTCCCCACCCATTATGAATCCTGGGGACCCCAATCCTCCGCCCCCAGGGTTCCCGGGAACCCCACCCATCCATCTAGGATTCTGGGGACCCCTTTGAAACTATGGGCCAATCTCGTCAATCATCAGGGGTTCCAGGAACCCCTCTGAGGCGTTGGGGACCATTCTCCCCATACATCAGGGATCCCCGGAGGCCCCGGGCCCCAGGGTTCCACTCAGAGTCCCGGGTCCCGGATGCCGCCTCCGCTCCAGGTCCTCGAGCAGGAGGGAGCCCACGGGGCGCCCCGGGGATCCCTGGGCGTCACGCTGCTGTTGTGGAGCGCGTGTTGACGCGTCGCCGGGGAGACGGGCGGGGGCGGACCCGGGAGGGGGGCGCGGCCTGGCCGTGCGCGAGGGGCCGGCCAGGCTGCGCAGAGCCCTGGCGGCCGCAGTGGCCACGGCCGCCGCCGCCCGCCGGCTTATATACCGCGGCTAAATT